GGTGACGCTTCTTCTTCCCCGCTGCTGCCCCGGAGGCTTCCCCCGTGTTCCTCTTGCGCGGCGAAACGGAGAGGGACCCGTGCGCCGTCTTCCCGGCTGCTCCGACGCTGAACGGGAAAACCATCTTCCTCTTCCCCGGCGACCGCGCGCGTCCGGAAGAATCCAGATCGCTCTCGACCTTGATCGTGACCGAACGACCTTGGCCGCTGCCGCCGGCTCCGCTCTCTCCCGTCGCCGCGCAGCCCGCCGGCGCCCCCCGGTGGCCGTGCCGCCTCGCGAGCTTCGCGTACACGCTCGGCGACCTCCCGGCGACATCCCTCAGCAGCGCGCGCCGCCGCGCGACGTCCAGCCGCCGCCAGAGGGCGCCCGCCTCGCTCAGGTCGGCGGCGACGGCGGCGACGGCGGCGGGCGAGGACGCGTCGACGACGACGACGGGCGACGACGTGCCAGGGTGCTGCGTAGCGGTGTGCCTGACGACGCGCGCCGCGGTGTCGCCGCGGTAGCTGCAGCTCGCGCACCCGGCGGGCCGGTAGTCATGGTGACGCATCACGTGGAGGCGCGCGGCTGACTCGTGAGGGATGCAGCAGTCGCAGCGCGCGCAGTAGTACAGCGGCGCCACCTGCTGGGTGGCGAGGTGGTCGATCTTCTCCTCGAGCGAGCGGTACCTCTCCATGGAATCATTCCCTTCTCTCCCGGGGTCAACCCCCTCCTCCTGGGTGTCGCCGCGTTCCTTCCCGGAACTATACTTCTTCGGAGAGCCGTCGTTCCGGGAATGGTCCTTGTTTAGGAAATCGTCATTCCGGGAACGATTCTTCGGGGAACCGTCCTTCCTGGAACTACCCTTCTTCCGGGAACCGTCATTCCAGGAATGATCCTTCTTCCGGGAACCATTATTCCAGGAACTATTCTTCTTCCGGGAACCGTCCTCGGGCTGGGAGGTACCCCGTAGAAGGACAAACTCCCGCTGGGATCCTTCCCCGGGAGAAGGCTCAGCATGCTGCGACGGACCAACCTCTGCCAGGGATAGATCCTCTCTGGGTGGATCACCAGGGAATGGATCCTCGGGATGCAGACACGGCATCTCCAGATTCGACGGGAGGAGATTCCGGACGGTGACGGACGCTGGGTCCCGGCCCGGATGAGCTGCTTCCTGGTGGGCGGCCATGCTCGCTGGCGACGCCTCGCAGCGACTGAAACAAGAGCACGTACAGAATTTTAGCGAGCTTCTTTCGGATTCCCCTTTCCTCCTGTCACTTACTTTCGCTCTCTTTCCTGCTGCTCCCTTTCCATTAGTTCGCCCAATCCCGTAACACCCTACCCTCTGTTTTGCATCTTTCCTCCATTCTTCATATCAGATTTTTGACCTCATGTCAACAACCTTTTCCAAATCGCTGATCCTTCTCTCATTACCTGTTGCCCTCCTAACATCTTACCTTCCCCGACACCCCGCTCTCACTTCCCCTTACTTTTTCCATACACCCCACCCTTCTTTCCCCTTACTTTTCCCATACACCCCACCCTTATTTCCCCTTACTTTTTCCCTACACCCCACCCTTCCTTCCCCTTACTTCGTCCATACTCTCCACTTTCGTCTTACCTCGCCTCCCTTGCGAGCCTCCCTCACCCTGCCCGTACACACACAACCGTCCTTTTCCCTCCAACACCCTCCCCTCCCCTGCCCTCCCCTCTGACACCCTCCCTCTCCTGCCATCCTCCCTCGCTCTGCCCTCACACGCCTCATTATACTTTCCCCCACCTCCCCCCACACACCCCACCCTCCGTTCCTCTCACCTCCCCTCTCTCTCCTGCCAGGCTTTCCCCTCCCCTGCCAGCCTTCCTCCCCCTTCCTCTTACCTGCAGTAGGAGCACGATAGCAAAGTGCTGCCATGGAGTTTCATGTGATGACGGCGAGGGCAAACGTGACTCGTCGTCTTCTCGGAACAATGACTGCGGAAAAAAGATGGGGAAGGGTGATGTAAACAGAACCCCGACAACAAGGACAACAACAACAACAACAACAACAACAACAAAAGCATCGGCGGCAGCAGCAACAACAAAAACAACCCTGACAACAACAACAACGCGCGCGCACGCACGCACGCACGCACGCACGCACGCACGCACGCACACACACACACACACACACACACACACCTCCCCCACACACAAACGCGCACGCGCACGCGCATGCACACGCACACGCACACGCACACGCACCCGCACACGCACACGCACACGCACACGCACACGCACACACGCACACACACACACACAATAATTAATCTGTTACAACAACAACAACAACAAAAACAACAACAAAAACAACCTTGACAACATCAACAACTAGAGCACTCGGAGAGCACAGACCTCCGCCAAGGCAGCTAAATTCTCTTAATGTAAAATTTCTTATTAATTAATTTATTAATTAAGTGAAAAAATTAATTAATTAATTAATTAATTAAATAATTAATTGGATCCGGATTAGTGCGAGCGTGCAGGTGAGGGAGGACTGTGGTTGCCCCTTAGCCTGTGGTTGCGTGTTTGTAAGTCTACAGCCAGCGCACCTATCGGAAGAGAACTGAAACGTGCATGGTAACACACAAACACACAAACCAACACTCAAAGACACGCCGGTGAAAACATAACCTCCGCCAAGCCCCTGGCGGAGGTAATAAAAACAAAAAGAACAGCAAATACAACCCTATCAACAACATCAACAACAATAACAGTAACAACAGCAGCAACAGCAGCAGAAACCACAACAACAATAAAAACAACAACACACATAAACCCGACAATATACATACACACACACGCACGCACACACAACACACGCACGCGCGCGCACACATGCAATAACGCACCCACACCAATGCAAATGCACACACAAACATGAGCACGCACACACCACACACGCACGCGCGCACGCACGCACACACACACTCGCACGCGTACGCACGCACGCACACACATACACACAATACGTACACACACACGCACGCGCACGCACACGCACACGCACACGCACACGCACACGCACACGCACGCACACACGCACAATACATACTCACACACGCACACGCACACACACACACGCACGCACACACGCACGTACGCACGCACGCACACATACTTACGCGCAGCTGAAGCTTGTGGCGCGGCAGTGCAGCATGCACACGTGTATTATGAACACGTCTCCATCGTCCGTCACGTACTTGCAGCCGTCGACGAGACAGCGGTATGACGGCCGCTCTACGTACGCGTATCGCACCGCGGCGCCCTCTGGTGCGCTTATCTGCGCGGCGCCCTGTCGCGTGGCGCCCTCTGGTGCGCTCGTCTGCGCGGCGCCCTCTTGTGGGCTGGTCTGTGCAGCGCCCTTTGGTGTACTCGTCTGTGCAGCGCCCTCTTGTGGGTGTGTCGACTCCGCGCCCCCTTGTGGGTCGGTCCGTGCGGCGCCCCCTTGTGGGTCGGTCCATGCGGCGCCCCCTTGCGGGTCGGTCCGTGCGGCGCCTCCTTGTGGGTCGGTCCTTGCGGCGCCCCCTTGTGGGTCAGTCCGTGCGGCGCCCCGTTGTGGGTCGGTCCCTGCAGAACCCCCTTCTGGGTCGGTCCGCGCGGCGCCCCCTTGTGGGTCAGTCTGTGTGGCACCCTCTAGTAGGTCGGAACATGTGGTGCCCTCTAGTGGCTCGGTCCATGTAGCGCCATCTAGTGGTCGGGTACGAGCCACTCCCTCTAGCGTGACAGTCTGCGCCTTAGGCGCCGGCTTGGCCATCTTCAGTTTCACAACAAGTTTTCCTTTCTTCTTCTTCTCCGTCGCATTTTTCCTGTTGGTCGAAGCACAATTCTTCGGATTTTTCCCGTTGGTCGAGGCACAATTCTTCTGATGTTCTCCGTTGGTCGAGGAACAATTCTTCTGATTTTCCCCGTTGGTTGAGGAACAATTCTTCGGATTTTCCCCGTTGGTCGAGGCACAATTCTTGCTGTTAGGCGAGGCAAGACTTTTCGAAATGTTCCCGTCGAGCGAGTTGCGATTTTTCCCATCGCCCGCTCCGGGCACGATGCGACCACGCGGCGGCGGCAGCAGCACGTCACCAGGTGGCGCCCGCGGGGACAGTCCGTCGGAGGGATGCACCGGAGCGCGAGCAACGTCCGCGGCCGCCTCTGTCGCCGCGGCAACGGGATGCTCGTGCGCGGTTGTCGCGGCGATGGCAGGAGGCTGCGGGCTCGCTAGCTCCCTCTTTATGAGCATCAGCAGCGGATCGTCTGCGTCGTCGTCCATCGCCCCGCCAGGTGGCGCCGTGGTGGCGCCAGACGGCGCCGCTGCAGTAGCGCTTCCTGCCCCAGAGGCAGATGGCGCCACCACGTCAGCGATCTCCTTTGCCGTCGCATTCATAGGTGGCGCTGTGGATTCGACGGCCGCTGTCACGCTACCAGAGGGTGCTGCTGCATGCGACGTTCCACCAGGTGGCGCCGATGCATCACCAGGTGGCGCCGGCGTGTTTTGCGGCGACGCGCTGATCACCTGACCGTCGCGGCAGACGGCGACGACGCTGACGCCGAATCGCCGCTGAAGATCCCGCAGCTCCTCGTGCAGCGACGTGGCGCCCCCTGGCGGCAGCGACTGGCCGCCGCTCGTCACACCGTGGCTCTGCTTAGCAGACTCCCCCTCCTCCTCATCCTTCTTCTTCTTCTCTTTCTTGGCCTCCTCGTTCTTCTCCACCACCTCCTCCTCGTCGCATTTTTCCTGCTTAATGGCAACGCTGTCCGCTGGCAATGCTCCTGTCGATGACGTCATGGGGTCGCGACCTGCACCTGTCGATGACGTCATGGGGTCGCGACCTGCATCTGTCGATGACACCATTGGCTCGCGACCTGCACCTGTCGATGACGTCATGGGGTCGGGACCTGCAGCTGTCAATGACATCACGGGGTCGCAACCTGCACCTGTTGATGTCATCATGGGGTCACGACCTGCACCTGTCAATGACGTCATGGGGTCGCGACCTGTACCTGTCGATGACGTCATGGGGTCGCGACCTGCGTCTGTCGATGACATCATGGGGTCGCGGCCTGCAGCTATCAATGACGTCATAGGGTCGCGACCTGCATCTGTCGCTGACATCACGGGCTTGCGACCTGCATCTGTCGATGACGTCATGGGGTCACGACCTGCAGCTATCGATGACGTCATAGGGTCGCGACATGCAGCTATCGATGACATCATAGGGTCGCAACCTGCAGCTATCGATGACGTCATAGGGTCGCGACTTGCAGCTATCGATGATGTCATAGGGTCGCGACCTGCAGCTATCAATGACGTCATAGGGTCACGACCTCCTCTCCTCTCTGTCATCGTGGCATCGTAATCGGCGGCTGCCTGCGATGTCGCGGGGTCAGGATTCGGAGCTGCTGCTGCTGCTGCTGCTGCTGCTGCTGCCGGCGCCGTCATGTCAGCACTCTCTGTCTTTATCTGTGATATTGCGAGATCGCGCTCCGGAGCCGCGCGAAACGATGTCACGTCAGCGACAATCTCGGGCGACCCCGTGACCTCTGGTGACCCCGTGATGTCAACAATTTTCGGCAACCAGATGACCTCGTCATCTGCTATCTCCGGTGACCCCGCGACCTCGGCCGGCATCGTCGTCGAGAACACGTCGACAATCGACACTGACGCGTCGCACGTAGCCGACGGTGACGCCGTTGCCGTGACGACACCCGTCGTCGTCTCCGCCGCAGGAGAGGAGGCACGGCGCCGCCGCATCTCGTCGTTGTCGGCGACTTTACTTCCAATGTCGCTGATCTGTGCTGTCGGCCAGGTAGGTGGCGCCACCGCGCGAGGGTGGGAGCGTGCATCCGCTGCCACGCGGGAGGAAGGCCGGGGGGCGGGAGCAGGCAGTAGTTGGGTGGGGGCGGTCCCCGGTGGTGGGAGCAGGCAGGATCTGGGTGGGGGCGGCCCAAGGGGGTGGGAGCGGCAGGATTTGGGTGGGGCGTTCCACGGTGCGGTGGAGCGGGCAGGATTTGGGCAAGCCTCACGCTCGCACCCTGTGACTGCCACCGCTGTTCCATGCTGCAAGTGCGGCCGCCCACCCCGGTTGTTGGTAGCCTTGGCCCTATCCTGGTTCGCCGTCGTCCTATCCTGGTTCGCCGTCGTCCTATCATTGTTTGCCGTGGGCCTATCATTGTTCGCCGTGGGCCTAGCATGGTTTGCCGTCGTCCTAGCTTGCGATGCCGGAGTGTTGGTAAAATTCGACCAGTAGTTGGAAGGCGCCACAGTAGCATGGGTGGCAGCAGCAGAGGTGGCAGCGGCATAGGTGGCAGCGGCGGTGTAGTAGGGGGCGCTGGCGGCGGGGCGAGACGGCCACGCGGTGGATTCTATTGCATTGTACCAGGATGTGTTTGTAGAATTGTAGTGAGCGTTTGGAGCATTAGCAACTGGGTTTGCGGCATGGGAAAGTCTGTTCGTAGCAGATGGTGGTATCATTGTATTGTACCAGGATGTGTTTGTACCATCGGAGTACGTGTTTAGAGCATTGGTGGCTGTGTTTACAGCATGGGAGAGTGTTTTTGTAACGTAGGACGGTGTGTTTGTATTGTAGACAGCTGTATTTGTAGTGTGGGAAAGTGTGTTTGTATCATAGGGCGCGACGTTCATATTGTACCATTCATCGAGTGTGTTTGCAGCATAAGCTGGTGTGTTTGTACCATAAGGTGGCGCCACCGCACCATAATCAAGTGCATTTGTACCATAAGGTAGCGCCACCTCACGACAATCGGGTGCATTTGTACCATAAGATGGCGCCACTGCAGGATAACGGTGCGCGTTAGCGGCATGAGAGGGCGCCACATTAGCACGTTGACTCGCGGGAATCGCGCGGGCCGCTGCCGCCGCCGCGACGCCACGCAGCGGCCAGTTTGCAGGGACGACACCGTCGCGAGGGGGCGCCACCCACACCGTGCACTCGGGGCTCGTCAGCACGACAGCTGCGGCGGCGCCGATCATCTGCAGCTTCGCCCACGTCGTCAAATTATCTATCCCGCCGCCATCCCCGCGCCGCAAGAACGAACACTTCTGCCACACAGCGTCATTGTCGCCGCCAGAGGGCGGCACCGCCGCACGCTCGTACATGAGGAGCGGCGCGAGCGTGTGCGCGCTCCGCACGTGCGCCGCCATCTCGCCCGGCGACGGCCGACCGCGCGCGCAGTACACGCACTGCCACGCGTCGATCTCGCCGCACGTCGCCAGGTGGCGCCGCACCACGTCCGCCGACGTGTCGATGGGGAGGCGGCAGCCGCAGGCAATTTTACTCCCGAGGTGGCGCTCGCAGGCGTGCGTGGCATAATCAGCGACGCGCGTGTACTCCCTGCCGCAGCAGAAGAGTAGCGCCGCACACGCCCGCACATCCCCCAGGCGGCGCCCCACGACGATCCACGTTCGCACGTCGTCGCGCGGGTCCGCCGGGTGCCGCCACTGAGGGGCGCCGCCGCTGCACGCCGCGCACTCGCACGCTGCCAGCGGCGCATGCGCGTCAACCATGTGCTCGGCGAGAGAGGTCGCAGTCGCGTGCAACTCGAAGCAGTAGGGGCACGGCAGCGCCCCCTGCGCCGCCGCGTGAGCGCCCTCTATATGCAGCACGAAGTCAAGCTCAGACCTTCCGCCCGGGAAAGCGGCGCAGTTGGCGACGACACAGCGGAAGAACGGCTGTTCGCAGGAGGGCAGAATCCGGCATAATCCCGTCGCGCTCATCCATGCGAGCGCCCGCTCCGCCAATTCCATCCGCCTCTCTTCCCCTCCTCCGCGACTGCTCGAGATCGTCGCGTTCATGCTGCCGCCGGCGGCGCTCTCTGTCAGCGCATCCAAGACCATGTCAACCAGGTCTGCGCGTGACGTTTCGTCGTCTGAGCCACCAGGGGGCGCGGGGGGGTGCATGGCGGCGATGTGCTCGAGGAGGGTGGAGACGGGGGTGAAGCTGAGGCTGCACCAGTAACAAGCGAACAGGGCGTCGGAGCCGTGGCGACACAGCAGGTGGTTGTGGAAGTTCGACTCCCCCTCAGCGACGTAATTCTTGCAGGACACGCACGGGAAGCGGCTGCGGCGAGGCAAGGAAGCGGTCGCCACGGCAACGTCCGTCGTCGTCGTCGTCGTCGTCGGGGACTGCAGAGGCGGCGTCTCGCCGTGCCGCGTCTCGGCCGGCGTCTCGGCCGTGGCCTCCCGCCCGGGCGTGGGTTCGTTCATCGCTCCTCCGCTGATTTCGTTCTCGATGCCAACTTCTTCTTCCACGACAACGTGTTCGGTGGTGTCGCGGAGACGTTCGCTTGTTGTTGTGGATGCGTCGCCTGATGCGTCGCTGCATGCATCTTTTTGGAGCAAGGTCGTATCACAGAGAAGTTCGCTTGTTGTGGGCACGTCGAGTGGTGCGTCTTTGTGTAGTGAGGTAGTGTCACAGAGACGTTTGCTTGTTGTGGGCACGTCGAGTGATGCGTCTTTGTGTAGTGAGGTAGTGTCACAGAGACGTTCGCTTGTTGTGGGCGCGTCGAGTGGTGCGTCTTTGTGTAGTGAGGTAGTGTCACAGAGACGTTCGCTTGTTGTGGGCACGTCGACTGATGCGTCTTGGTGGAGCGAGGGCGTGTCACAGAGATGTTCGCTTGTTGTGGGCGCGTCGACCGATGCGTCGCTGCATGCGTCTTTGTGCAACGTGGTCGCGTCGGAGAGACGTTCGCTTGTCCTTGTGGGCGCGTCGACCGATGCGTCGCCGCTTGCGTCTTTGTGGAGCGTGGTTGTGTCGTAGAGACGTTCGCTTGTTGTTGTGGGTGCGTCGACTGATGTGTAGCTGCATGTATCTTTGTGGAGCAAGGTAGTCTCATAGAGATGTTCGCTTGTTGTGGGCACGTCGACCGATGCGTCGCTGTGCACATCTTTGTGGAGCGAGGTCGTGTCATAGAGATGTTCGCTTGTCGCTGTCGCGACGTCGCTGACCTCAGACTTCTCAATGCAAGCTTGCTTTGTGATGCAAGCTTCCTTTTCGATGCAAGCTTCCTTCTCAACGCAAGCCTCCCTCTCGATAGTATTGCAAGCCTCCCTCTCGCAAGCCTCTTCCGAAACCTTAGTCTCTCCGCCAGCTTGTCCCGCGGGGATCAGAGGAAGGGGAGCGGCAACTTTCCCGTCCGACAGCGGCACCTCTCTCAGCTTCGGCACCTTTCCGGGCGCGTTGCCGCGGCAAAGCCGCACATGCTGCTCCGCGCCCGCCGCATCCACCTTGACGACCCCGCACGCCGTGCACTCGTACATCGTGTCCAGGCGTCCCGCCGCCTCGCCTCCGCCGCCGCGCTCCACCGCCGCCGCGTCGCGCCGCCCCGGGTGCCGGTCCATGCAGTGTTCAACGACCTCCGCGCTCCGGTTCGCGGGGAAGCGGCACAGCGAGCAGGAGAAGATGTACTCGCCCGTGTGCGAGCGCACGTGCCAGCGCAGCCGGTCCACGCTCGAGTACGCCGCCACGCAGTAGCGGCAGCGCCACTGCGCCGCGCCCCGAGTCGTCGTCGTCGTCGTCGCCGCGGTCGATGGCAGCTGCGAGGGCGCATCGGCGTCACCGTGGACGATGTACGCGTGACGCACGAGCGACACGTGACGCGATGTCGCGTAGCGACAGAGGGCGCAGCGGTAGCCGGCGTTTGCTTCGTACGGTCGCTCGTCTCTGGCGATTATTTTTTTGTCAACGCGTCGTTTCGGTTTCTTCGTTATGTTATAATGATCATTACACTGATCGTCATCTTTACCATCTTTGGCCACGTTATTTCTCACTTCGCGGTCGTTCGCATCTCGACCCGCCGGCATATCGTCTCTCAGTCCACAGTCAACAGCGGATTTGTCGCTCGCGTCAACACATCCAGACACGCGGTCTCTCCTTTCGTGGCATCTCCTGCAATCATCTCTCGCGTCCGAATTTTGACGTCCACTCGATATCATCTCCGCACCTCTAGACCGACTATCTTTTCCATCCATCGTAAGCTGGTGATCGCCGTGCTTGCCATCGCTCCTTTCCACGTCCCTGGCTTCCTTCTCTCTCTCCTCGGAAGATGTCGATAAGCTTCTCTCGCGGTTCTCTCTGGCGTATCGTCGATAGAGAGCTTCGCCTCGCAGCCTCTTCGCAGCGGGGCGGTGATCGGGCGACGAGTCGCCGCGGCGACGCTTGCCCGCGGCGTTGCCGTCGGACGACGCGTGGCGCGCTGTGTACTCGCCGTACGTAGTCCAGTACGTACGCCAGTCCACCGCTAAAGGTCCGCTGCCGTTGCTGCTGCCGTCGCCGCCCGCCATCCTGCTCCCGGGATGATCGCTCCCTCGGATCGATCCCGTCTGGGAATCGTTCGCCACAGCGAGGGGAGAGTTCGTCGTCGGCGTTCGGAATGCGTCCGGGATCCGGGATTCCTCGTCCGAACGCGTCCCGGTCGCCGCGCACGTTCCCGGCGCTTTCGCATCGGACGACAGATCGTCCTGACCCAGCATCGCCTTGAGAAGCGAGTTCGTCGTCGGAGGCACCAGGGCGTTGTCGCGGCAACGGGACGCGTCGCCGTTGGAAACGTCCGCCGACCCTCCGGCAGTGTCTCTCTCCCGCCGCTCCGCATTCAACATCGCCTTGAAGGTCGTCACTGAGGTCGCGTTCGAGGTTGCGTTCGAGGTCGCGTTCGAGGTTGTGTTGCAGCCTGCCTCCGGTTCACGTGCGACAACGTCCAGGTACCACTGTATGTACGTGTACTCCGGCCGCAGATCACAGACGCCGGCCGCCGGACAGGACAAGCGGTCAAGACCAGAAAACGACGCGACGTCCTCCACGGGGGGCACCACCGCGGCGGTGGCGGCGCCGTGGTAGCGTTCCGAAGGAGATTTCGGCTGGATGAGACTTGTCGCGGAGACGTGGATCTCTGCGGTCGGTCCGACGGCGGACGAGGGAGAGTAACACGGCGACTGCGGACGGTGGTGTCCTCCATCGTCTGCTGCATCGTCTGCCGACAAGTCTTCGTCACCGCAGACCGAGGTCAGACTGATCAGGCTAGAACTACGTACAGTTCTTGACACCGTATTTTGCCGATCTACTCTCGCTGTGACGATCACCGGAACTCGACTGACGAAGCTAGAACTACTATCACTCATGCTTCTTGGTAGCATATTTTGTCGATCTTGTCTTGCTGTGATGGTCATTGGCGTACTGTCTAAAGTACACTTAGACAGACCCTTGGTCCGCATGTCTTCTGCATTTTCACTGGCCGGTAGAGACGTTTGTGGGACACTATCGGGGGTACTCTGAATTCTAGTCTCTTTTATTTCTGACTTTAAATTGGCTGGTGGTTGGGAACTGTCTGGGTCCGATTGACATTCAGCCTCGAGTCCCTCTCCTTCTGGCTTTGCACTGACAAATAGTGATGTCTGCAGTGTACTGTCGCATCCACCGTGACTTGCAGCCATGGTCGATGTGGTGACCGGCTCAGATAAGTTTGTTCCACGTTTTGAACATGCAGGTGGTGATGACTGGGGGGGAAACTCTGAAGAAACCTCAGTTAAAATTTTGTGTTGGTTTGCTTCTGATTTTGAATTAGAAAGCGGTGATTTCTGTGGGAGACTCTCTGACTTGGACGTGGTGGAAGCTACGGCTTGCTCTGTTTCGCGTTTGGAAGTAGAAGGGCGAGATATCTGTGGGGTAGTCTCTGGCTTAGACTTGTTAGGAGCTTTGGCTTGCTTTGCTTCTGGTTTTGTACTAACAAGTAATGATGTCTGTATGGTACTCTCTGATTGTGCATTAGTTGGATGCTTGGCTTGCTCTGTTTCTGGCTTACTAGCAAGCTGTTGTGTCTGTGGTGTATTTTCTGCTTTGGACTTGGTTGGAGCTTTGGCTTGCTTTGTTTCTGGCTTTGCACTACCAGGCTGTGGTGTCTGTGATGTACTTTCAGATTTGGACTTGGTTGGTTCATTGGCTTGCTTTGTTACCAGTTTTGAAGTAGCAGGCTGTGGTGACTGTGGGGTACTTTCTGATTTTGACTTGACAGGAGCTTTGTGTTGTGAACTGGAGTGGTTTGGTAGTGAAGAACGTTTCGTACTCTCTGGTTTGGACTTGGTCGATGCTTTGGCTTGCTCTGTTTCTGCCTTTGAAGTAGCAGACAGTGATTTCTGTTGGGCGGTCTCTGGTTTGGACTTATTCCGAGCTTTGGGAGGCTTTACGTCTGGCTTTGTAGTAGAAGAGAGTGATGCCTGTATAGTACTGTCTGATTTTGAATTTGTTGGAGCTTGGGGTTGTTCTGTTTCTCGTTTTAAACTAGCCGTCTGTGATGCCTGTGAGGTACTCTCTGATTGTAATTTAGTTAGAGCTTTGGCTTGCTCTGTATCTGGCTTTGAACTAGTAGGCAGTGATTTCTGTGGGGTAGCCTCTGGTTTAGACTTGTTAGGAGCTTTTGCCTGTTTTGTTTCTGGCTTTGAACTAGCAGGCAGCGATTTCTGTGGGGTAATATCTGGTATGGACTTGTTAGGAGCTTTGGCTTGCTTTGCTTCTGGTTTTGTGCTAACAGGTAATGATGTCTGTATGGTACTCTCTGATTGTGCATTAGTTGGAGGGTTGCCTTGCTCTGTTTCTGGCTTACTAGCAGGCTGTGGTGGCTGTGAGGTACTTTCTGATTTGGACTTGGTTGGAGCTTTGGGTTGCTCTGTTTCTGGCTTCGATCTAGACATCTGTTGTGTCTGTGATGTACTTTCAGATTTGGACTTGGTTAGTTCATTGGCTTGCTTTGTTCCCAGTTTTGAAGTAGCAGGCTGTGGTGTTTGTGGGGTACTCTCTGATCTTGATTTGGTTCGAGCTTTGGTTTGCTCTGTTTCTGGCTTCGAACTAGACAGCTGTTGTGTCTGTGGTGTATTTTCTGATTTGGACTTGGTTGGAGCTTTGCTTGCTTTGTTTCTGGCTTCGAACTACCAGGCTGTGGTGTACTGATGATGTACTGTCAGATTGGACTTGGTTGGTTCATTGGCTTGCTTTGTTTCCAGTTTTGAAGTGACAGGCTGTGGTGGCTGTGGGGTACTTTCTGATTTTGACTTGACAGGAGCTTTGTGTTGACTGGTTTCTGGTTTTGAACTGGAGTGTTGGTTAGTGAAAGACATTTCGTACTCTCTGGTTTGGACTTGGTCGATGCTTTTGCTTGCTCTGTTTCTGCTTTGAAGTAGGCAGACAGTGATTTCTGTTGGGTGGTCTTCTGGTTTGGACTTATGCGAGCTTTGACGGCTTTACATCTGGCTTTGTAGTAGAAGACAGTGATGCCTGTCTAGTACTGTCTGATTTTGACTTTGTTGGAGCTTGTGGTTGTTCTGTTTCTGGTTTTGAACTAGCCGTCTGTGATGTCTGTGAGGTACTCTCTGATTGTGATGTAGTTGGAGTTTTGGCTTTGCCTCTGATTTCCTGGCTTTGAGCTAGTAGGCAGTGATTTCTGTGTGGTAGCCTCTGGTTTAGAGACTTGTTAGGAGCTTTGGCCTGTTTTGTTTCTGGCTTTGAACTAGCAGCAGCGATTTATGGTGCGGTAATCTCTGGTAATGGACTGGTTAGGCAGCTTTGGCTTGCTTTGCTTCTGGTTTTGTACTAGCAGGTAATGATGTCTGTATGGTGCTGTCTGATTGTGCATTAGTTGGAGACTTGGCTTGCTCTGTTTCTGGCTTACTAGCAGGCTGTGGTGGCTGTGAGGTACTTTTAGATTTGGACTTGGTTGGTTCATTGCGCCTTGCTTTGTTCCCAGTTTTGAAGTAGCAGGCTGTGGTGTTGTGGGGTACTCTCTGATGCTTGATTTGGTTCGAGCTTTGGTTTGCTGCTGCTTTCTGGCTTCGAACTAGACAGCTGTTGTGTCTGTGGTGTATTTTCTGATTTGGACTTGGTTGGAGCTTTGGCTTGCTTTGTTTCTGGCTTCGAACTACCAGGCTGTGGTGTCTGTGATGTACTGTCGATTCTGACTTGGTTGGTTCATTGGCTTGCTTGTTTCCAGTTTTTGAAGTAGCAGGCTGTGGTGGCTGTGGGTACTTTCCTGATTTGAACTTGACAGGAGCTTTGTGTTGACGGTTTCTGGTTTTGAACTGGAGGTGGTTTGGTAGTGAGAACATTTCCGTACTCTCTGGTTTGGACTTGTCATGCTTTGCTTGCTCCTGTTTCTGGCCTTTTGAAGCTAGCAGACAGTGATTTCTGTTGGGTAGTCTCTGGTTTGGACTTATGCCGAGCTTTGGAGGGCTTTACGTCTGGCTTTGTAGTAGAAGAACAGTGATGCCTGTCTAGTACTGTCTGATTTTGACTTTGTTGGAGCTTGTGGTTGTTCTGTTTCTGGTTTTGAAACTAGGCCGTCTGCTGTGATGTATCGTGAGGTACTCTCTGATTGTGATGTAGTTGAGTTTTGGCTTGCTCTGTTTCTGGCTTTAAGTGTAGGCAAGTGTTTCTGGTGTGTAGCCTCTGTTTAGACTTGTTATGGAGCTTTGCCTGGTTTGTTCTCCTGGGCTTTAACTTAGCAGGCCGCCAGACGATTTTTACTGTGCGGGTAAATCTCTGGTACTGGCCTGGTTAGGAGGCTTTGGCTTGCTTTGCTTCTGGTTTCTTATCTAGCAGGTAATGATGTCTGCTATGGTGCTGTCTGAAATTGTGCATATAGTTTGAGTGCTTTGGCTTGCTCTTGTTTCTGGCCTTAACTATGCAGGCTTGTGGTGTGCTGCTGAGGTACTTTCTGATTTGGACTTGATTGGAGCTTTGGGATTGCTCTGTTCTGGCTTGATCATAGACACATCTGGATTGTGGCTGTGATGTACTTTTAGATTTGGACATTCGGTTGGTTCATTGGCTTGCTTTGTTTCCCAGTTTGAGCGTAGCAGGCTTGTGGTGTTTTGTTTGTGAGTTACTCTCTGATTTCTTGATTTTTGGTTAGAGCTTGGTTTGCTTCTGTTTTCTGGCTTTCGAAACATAGATAGCCTGTTGTGTCTGTGGTGTATTTTCTGATTTGGACCTTGGTTGGAGCTTTGGCTTGCTTTGTTTCGCGGCTTTGAAACTACCAGGACTGCTAGGTGGCTGTGATGTACTTTCAGAATGGTTGGACTCGGCACCCCGTGTGTTCATTGGCGTTGCTGAATTCCCGTCTGAAAAGTAGGCGGCTGTGGTGCTGTGGGGGGTACTTTCTGATCTTTGACTTGACAGGAGCTTTGTGCTGACTGGTTTCTGTGTTTTGAACTGGAGTGTTCTGGCTAGTGAAGAACGGCTTTCGTACTCTGCTGGTTTGGACCTTCGTCGAGCTATTGGTTGGCCTCTGTTCCGTGCCCTTTGACAGTAGCAGAACAGGTGTTTCTGTTGGGTGGGTCTCTGGTTGGGAAGCTTATGGCCGAGCCCTTGAGAGGTTTTACGTCTGGCTTGGTGATAGAAGACAGCGATGCCTGTCTTGTACTGTCTGATTTTGACTTTTTTGGAGCCTTGGGGTTGCTCTGCTTTTGGTGGTTTGTGGAGACTGAGGCCGTCTGTGATGTCTGTGGAGGTACTCTCTGATTGTGATTTAGTTGGAGGCTTTGGCTTGCTGCTGTTTCTGGCTTTGAACTAGTAGGCAGGAATTTGCTGGTGGGGGCGGTAGCCTCTGGGTTTAGACTGGGTTAGAAGCTGCTTTGGCCAGTTTGTGTTCTAGCTTTGAACTAGCAGGCAGCGATTGGTCTGTGGGTAATCTCGTTGGTATGAACGTTGTGTAGGAGTTTGCTTGTGGTTGTGTTCTGGCCTTTGAACTAGTAGGCAGCTATTTCTGTGGGTAGTCTCGTTGGTTTGCCCTGTATCAGAAGCTTTCGAAGAGTGTGCTGTGTTCTGGCTGTTGTACTAGAGCACGCCAGGCGAATGTCTGCGCGCCCGAGTTACTTGATTTGGACTTAGGTTTGGAGTTGTGTGTTGCGCCTGTCAATTGCGCTTTCTGCAGTTGTGGCCAGTGGTACCTGTGGGCGTAGAGGACTCTGTTTAAAACGTATGTGCAGCTTTAGGCCT